AGATTAGTTGACCAGATAGTTGTGAGTCCATTTCTGGGTTCTCTATTCTGTTCCACTGATCTATATATCTGTTTTTGTGCCAATACCATACTGTGTTGGTCACTACAGCTTTGTGATATACCTTGAAGTCCAGAATTGTGATGCCTGCAGCTTTGCTTTTCTTTTTCAAGATTAGTTTGGCTATTCAGGATCTTTTGTGGTTCCATACAAATTTTAGCATTGTTTGTTCTAACTCTGTGAAAAATGCGGTGGTATTTTAATAGGGATTGCATAAAATGTGTACAATGCTCTGAGTGGTGTAGACATTTTAACAATATTTGTTCTTCCAATCCATGAGCATGAAATGTTTTTCTATTTCTTTGTGTCCTCTTAACTTTCTTTCTTTCATAAGTGTTCTGTAGTTTTCAGAGTACAGATCTTTTGGCTCTTTGGTTGGGTTTATTCCTAGGTATCTCTTATTTCCATGTTTTTATTTAAATTCTAATGAATTAACATATATGGTAAAATTGGTTTCAGGTGTAGGATTTGGTGATTCATCACTTACGTATAACACCCAGTGCTCCTCCCAACAAGTGCCTTCCTTAATACCCATCACCCATTTTGCCTACCCCCCACCACTTCCCTCCATTAACCCACAGTTTGTTCCTAGGTATCTTATGGTTTTTGGTGCAATCGTAAAATGGGATTGATTCCTTGATTTCTTTTTCTCCTGCTTCATTATTGGTGTATAGAAATGCAACAGATTTCTGTACATTGGTTTTTATCCTGCAGCTTTACTGAATTTGTGTATCCTTTCTAGCAGTTTTTTGGTGGAGTCTTTCAGGTTTTCTATATAGAATATCATGTCATCTGCAAATAGTGAAAGTTTGACTTCTTCCTTACCAATTTGGACTTCCAGTACTTTGTTAAATAGTAATGGTCAGAGTGGACATCCTTGTTCTGTTCCTGACCATAGGGGAAAAGCTCTCAGTTTTTCCCCATTGAGGATGATATTAACTGTGGGTCTTCCATATATGGCCTTTATGATGTTGAGGTGTGTTCCCTCCATCCCTACTTTCTTGAGGGTTTTTATCAAGACTGGATGCTGTACTTTGTCAAACACTTTTTCTGCATCAATTGAGATCATATGGTTCTTGTCCTTTCTTTTATTAATACGGTGTATCATGTTGATTGAGTTGTGAATATTGAGCCACCCTTGCAGCCCAGGAATAAATCCTACTTGATAATGGTGAATGATTCTTTTCATGTACTGTCAGATTAATATGGCTAGTATTCTGTTGAGAATTTTTGTATCTATGTTCATCAGGGATATGGGCCTGTAATTCTCCATTTTAGTGGGGTCTTTGTCTGATTTTGCAATCAAGGTAATTCTGGTCTCAGATAATGAGTTTGGAAGTTTTCCTTCCATTAGTATTTTTTGGAACAGTTTGAGAAGAATAGGTTTTAACTCTTCTTAAAATGTTTGGCAGAATTCCCCTGGGAAGCCATCTGGCCCTGAACTTTTGTTTGTCAGGAGATTGATTATTGATTCAATTTCTTTGCTGGTTGTGGATCTGTTCAAATTTTCTATTTCTTCCCATTTCAGTTTTTGTAGTTTATATGTTTCTAGGAATTTATCCATTTCTTCCAGCTTGCCTAATTTGTTGGCATATAATTGCTCATAATAATCTCATATTTGTTTGTATTTCTCTGTTGTTGGTTGTGATCTCTCCTCTCTCCTTTGTGATTCTATTTATTTGGGTCCTTTTCCTTTTCTTTTTTGCCAAGACTGGCTAGAGGTTTGTTAATTTTATTAATTCTTTCAAAGAACCAGCCCCTGGCTTCATTGACCTGTTCTGCTGGGTTTTTTTGTTTATTTTTGTATCATTTATTTCTGCCCTAATCTTTATTATTTCCCTCCTTATGCTAGCTTTAGGCTTCATTTGTTGTTCCTCTTCTAGCTCTTTTAGGTGTAAGGTTAGGCTGTGTATTTGAGATTTTTCTTGCTTCTTGAAGTAGGTTTGTATTCCTATATATGTCCCTCTTAGGACAGCTTTTACTGCATCCCAAAGGTTTTGGACTGTCATGTTTTCATTATTATTATTTCCATGTATTTTTTAATTTCTTTTTAATTTCCTGGTTGGCCCATTCATTCTTTAGTAGGATGTTCTTTAACCCCTATGTATTTGTAGTCTTTCCAAATATTTTCTTGTGCTTGACTTCAAGTTTCATAACATTGTGGTTGGAAAATATGCATGGTATGATCTCATTCTTTTTGTACTTGTTGAGGCCTGATTTGTGACCCTATTATGATCTATTCTGGAGAATGTTCTATGTGCACTCAAAAAGAATATATATTCTGCTATATGATGAAATGTCCTGAATATATCTGTTAAATCCATCTGGTTCAGTGTGTCATTCAAATCCATTGTTTCCTTGTTGATTTTCTGCTTAGATGATCTATCCACTGGTGTAAGTGGGGTGTTAAAGTCTCCTACTATTATTGTATTATTATAAATTAGTTCCTTTATGTTTGTTATTAATTGTTTTATGTACTTGAGTGCTCCCAAGTTAGGGGGATAAATATTTACAATTGTTAGATCTTCTTGTTGGATATACTCCTTTGTTGTGATATAGTGTCCTTCTTCATCTCTTGTTACAGTCTTTATTTTTTATATATATTTTTAAAGATTTTATTTATTTATTTGAGAGGGGGATGGAGAGGGACAAGCAGATCCCATGCAGAGTGCAGAGCCCAATGTGGGGCTGGATCCCACAACCTGGAGAGCCAAAACCAAGAGTTAGATGTTTAAGTGACTGAGCCACCCCGGTGCCCCTACAGTCTTTAGTTTAAAATCGAGTTTGTCTGATGTAAGTATTATTACTCTGGCTTTCTTTTAATATCCATTAGTATGCTAAACAGTTCTCCATCCTCTCACTTTCAATCTACAGGTATCTTTAGGACAAAAATGAGTCTCTTGTAGGCAGTGTATAGATGGGTCTTGTTTTTTTATCCATTCTGACACCCTGTGTCTTTTGATTGGAACATTTAGTCCATTTACATTCAGAGTAATTATTCATAGATCTGAATTTAGTACCATCTTATTGTTTTTCATTTATTCCGGAGATTTTCTCTGTTTCTTTCTAGTCTTTGTCACTTATTGTTTCCTTCCCACTCAGAGAAATGTTTCCTTTAATATTTCTTGCAAGGCAGGTTTAGTGGTCACAAACTCCTTTAGTTTTTGTTCATCTGGGAAACTGTCTATTTCTCTTTCTAATCTGAATGACAGACAGCCTTGCTGGTTAGAGCATTCTTGGCTGCATATTTTTCCCATTCAGCACATTGAATATATCATGCCACTTTCTTCTGGCCTGCCAAATTTCTGTGGAGAGATCAGCTGCTAACCTTATTCGTCTTCCCTTGTAAGTAAGGGACTTCTTTTGTCTTGCCGCTTTTAGGATTTTTTCTTTATTGCTGTATTTTGCAAACTTAACCACTATATGTCTTGGTGTTTGCCTGCTTTTTAAAATTTTAATGGGAATTCTCTGTGCCTCCTGGATTTGGATGTCTGTTTCCTTTCCTAGATTAGGGAAGTTTTCAGCTGCAATTTTCTCAAATAACCTTCTGTCCCCTTTTCCCTCTCTTCTTCCGGGACTCCTACTATATGAATGTTAGTATGCTTTATGGAGTTACTGAATTCCCTAAGTCTATATACATGATCTAATATTTTTCTTTCCCTCTTCTTTTCAGCTTCATTGTTTTTCATAACTTTACCTTTTATATCACTTACTCATTCCTCTACTTCTTCCATCCTTGTGGTCATTACATCCAGTCTGTTTCGAATCTCAGCTATTGCATTTCCTACTTTGGTCTGACTATTTTTTAGGTCTTTTGTCTCTGTGGTAAGGGACTCCCTGGTATCTTCTATGCTTTTCTCAAGTCCAGCTTCATATCTTTATGACTGTTGTTTTAAATTCTAGATCAGGCAGTTTACTTGTGTCTGTTTCAGTTAGATCCCTGACCATGACCCTTTTCTTGTTCTTTCTTTTAGGATGAATTCCTCCATCGTGGCATTTTGTCTAGGTCTCTGTCTTCTGTGTGTTAGGAAAGCCTGTCTGTTTACATCAGCTTATTGAAAATAATCTGTCACATGTTTTGATATTCTAAAATTGTATGGTTCTCAAGATCAGTGAATCTTATAATACAAGTTTATGACAAACCAAATGAAACCTAACATATCTGATATTTCATCGATGATATAACGTAAGATTTTTTAAAAAAAATCAGTGTGTTTTTATTGCAGTCAGTTCCCTCTGCTTCATGTATATCTTGCTAAAACATTAAGAACAACTAAAATTACTAAAGAATAATAAAATTGAAAGAAAACATAAGACCCAAATGGTCATGAAAATAATGAAATATTAAATAGAAAATTAGATTCCTCTTTTTTTGGGAAAAGACATTAGAGATTTAAAATTTTTCTTTCAGAATATTTCATGATTGGAATAGGAATGACAGCCACTCTTGGGTGGGGGTGGGGGTTGGGGGGAGAAGTGGGAATGAGAAGATAGAAGCAAACAATTGAAATTAACAGTGGTAAATGTGCATCTTCAACAAATATAACTTAAATTTTAGACATCTAACACACATACTCTGGGAGTACATTTAGCAAATAGTTTTATGTGTACTAAACAGGATGAAAAATGAGTTTCTAGAATTCTCTTAAGAGTCTAACTAAAACATAAGCCCACGTAGCAATGAGTTCTGTGCTTGATTTCCAAATTCACTTCTAATGTTATAGAAGTTGTAATAATAAATAACCAACTTGCCAAGAAAGGAAAATTTATTTTTCAGTTAATTGTATTTGTGACTAATACTTGAAATAATATATAAAAATTTTGTTTTATTATCTTGTCATGGCTAAAACATACATGAAATCATTTTTGTTTAAAATGTAAGTTATAAAGTTTTTAAATCTTTTTTCCCTTCTTAATAAAGTTTTATTTTTTGTGTATTATAGACAAAAGGTTCTCAAACCATGACACCCTCTGGCACCCAGAAAAAAGTTAAGAGAACTCTGCCAAACCCACCCCCTGAGGAGACTTCCACAGGCACTCAGTCAACATACAGCACAATGGGCACAGTTTCCAGGAGGAGGATCTGCAGAACCAACACAATGGCACGAGCCAAGATTCTCCAGGATATAGACAGAGAACTTGATCTTGTAGAGAGGGAATCTGCAAAGCTGAGAAAGAAACAAGCAGAACTTGATGAGGAAGAAAAGGAGATTGATGCCAAGTTACGGTACCTGGAAATGGGAATTAACAGGAGGAAGGAGGCATTATTAAAAGAGAGAGAAAAGAGAGAGCGAGCCTACCTCCAGGGAGTAGCTGAGGATCGGGATTACATGTCTGATAGTGAGGTGAGCAGCACCCGACCAACTCGAATAGAAAGTCAGCATGGCATAGAGCGACCGAGAACTGCTCCCCAAACTGAATTCAGCCAGTTTATACCACCGCAAACCCAAACAGAATCTCAACTAGTTCCTCCTACAAGTCCTTATACACAATACCAATATTCTTCCCCAGCTCTTCCTACCCAAGCACCTACCCCATACACCCAACAGTCCCATTTTCAGCAACAGACTTTGTACCATCAGCAAGTTTCACCTTATCAGACTCAACCAACATTTCAGGCTGTCGCAACAATGTCCTTCACGCCTCAAGCTCAACCTACACCAACCCCACAACCTTCTTACCAGTTACCATCACAGATGATGGTGATACAACAAAAGCCACGGCAAACTACATTATATTTGGAGCCCAAGATAACTTCAAACTATGAGGTGATTCGCAACCAACCCCTGATGATAGCACCTGTTTCTACTGATAATACATATGCTGTTTCTCATCTTGGGAGTAAGTACAATAGCTTAGACTTGAGAATAGGATTGGAGGAAAGAAGTAGCATGGCAAGCAGTCCAATATCAAGCATATCTGCAGATTCTTTCTATGCGGATATTGACCATCATACTCCACGAAATTATGTCCTAATTGATGACATTGGAGAGATTACCAAAGGAACAGCAGCACTAAGCACTGCGTTTAGCCTTCATGAAAAGGATCTGTCAAAAACAGATCGTCTCCTTCGATCCACTGAAACACGTAGGTCTCAAGAAGTGACAGATTTCCTAGCACCCTTACAGACTTCCTCCCGATTGCATAGTTATGTGAAAGCAGAGGAAGATCCCATGGAAGATCCATATGAGTTAAAGCTTCTGAAACATCAGATTAAACAAGAATTCCGTAGAGGGGCAGAGAGCTTAGATCACCTTGCTGGTCTTTCCCATTATTACCATGCTGATGTGGGCTATAGACATTTTCCAAAATCGGAAAAGTACAGCATTAGTAGACTCACACTTGAAAAACAAGCAGCAAAACAACTACCAGCTGCCATACTTTATCAAAAACAATCAAAACATAAGAAGTCACTAATTGATCCTAAAATGTCAAAATTTTCACCCATTCAAGAAAGTAGAGATCTTGAACCTGATTATTCAAGCTATATGACTTCTAGCACTTCTTCTCTTGGTGGCATTTCTTCCAGAGCAAGGCTGCTTCAAGATGACATCACTTTTGGCCTCAGAAAAAATATTACAGACCAACAGAAATTTATGGGGTCATCTCTTAGCACAGGGCTGGGCACATTAGGAAATACCCTCAGGTCGGCTTTGCAGGATGAAGCAGATAAGCCATACAGTAGTGGCAGCAGGTCCAGACCTTCTTCCAGACCTTCTTCTGTCTATGGCCTTGACTTATCAATTAAAAGAGATTCTTCCAGCTCTTCCCTAAGACTGAAAGCTCAAGAGGCTGAAGCTCTAGATGTTTCCTTTAGTCATGCATCACCTTCTAGCAGAACTAAGCCGACCAGCTTACCAATTAGCCAGAGTAGAGGAAGAATACCAATTGTGGCCCAAAATTCTGAAGAAGAAAGTCCACTCAGTCCCGTTGGCCAGCCAATGGGAATGGCCAGGGCTGCAGCTGGACCTCTTCCACCAATATCTGCAGACACCAGGGATCAGTTTGGATCAAGTCACTCATTGCCTGAAGTTCAGCAACACATGAGAGAAGAATCACGAACTCGAGGCTATGACCGTGACATAGCGTTCATCATGGATGACTTCCAACATGCCATGTCAGACAGTGAAGGTAAATTGGGCCTCACACTACCTTGTTACTCTCAAAACTCAAACTCTTGTTTTTCTGCATGTTTAATTTTCCTTCTCCAAGGATGTATTCTACTTTTCTTAGTGCGTCTTTTGCATGTTTACTTCAATTTTATTTCCTATAAATGGAAATTTGATCTTGTGTATAGATTTCCTAGCATGCTTTTCTTTATTTCTCTTTAGTTTATTCTTTTATTGTTGTTTCTTGATTGTTTGCTTGATTTGTTTGGTGTCCACTTTTCTAAAACCATTATCAAGTAATTGTGTCAATAAAATATGGTCATCCTTTAAATCCATAGTTGGAAAGTTTGTCATTGTATGTTTCTTCTATCTTTTAAAAATGCATTTCTAAATATATTGGTCAGTTTCTTTCAGTTTGTGAAATTATTAATATTTAGAGCCATTAAGTACTATTCTGCTAGACTTTGTAATAGAAAATTATTTATGTTATTTTTGTGATATCATTGTTCATTAATTCAGAGAATGTTCTATTTTTGAGAATCTTTGGCTAAATCCCTGATATTAGTGTAATGTAGAATTTTATAATTCTCCTTAAATAAAGGATTAATATTTTTATTTCTCTCACTATGAATACCATAATTGACAAGTTTGTGCATTTTGCATTACATACTAGAAAGCTTGGCACTATGATATTGACAAAAAATAATCATGTCAGTACACAGGAACATTTTTTAGATTTAGATTCAAAAATTTCCTCACTACTTTTGTGAGTTTAGCAAGCTGAAGCCCTCCTGGTTGGTGTACCCATATAGGCTTTCCCTTGGCTTTGCGTTTTGCATCATCCCATTTTTTTATCCTAAATTGTTTTGCTAGTTTTTCTTTGAATAAATGATTTAAGGCAAGTATATACCTTAATTAAAAACTGGCTTATGATAATTTTGTTGTTGTTGAATCATGTAGAATGATAGGATTTTAGAAAATTATCTACTCTAAATATAATTGTGAAGGCAAGGGAGGAGAGGTAAAGGGTTATACAGAGTCCTTTCCATGCCAGAAGCACTCATTATTTTTGGTCCTCTTTTTTCCCCTCTCTCTATGGTTTACATTTGAATGTAGGTGTGGTTTGAGTCCTGGAAATAAAAGTTTTCATTGAATACAAATATTATTACTTTATGCCTTTGAAGACTGCAGAGCACTAAACTAACATGAACAACCCCCCTTTTACATCTGACATTTTCCCTGAGGAGTCACAGGAAAATAAGTGTTTATGAAAAGAATTTTCCTTCTACTTCTATATATAGACACTAATACAATTTTAGAAGTTCAAATCTAGATTTGAATAGGATTAAAATAAGTCACTGGATCTGAAAGTGGACAGATTCCTTTTCTTAGTGAAATCCCAACAGACTAGTTCCTTTCTGATTTATTTTCTTCTGTACAGGCTATTGGATTGACCATTTTTATTGATAATTATTCGATTAATAAAGCACTTCATTTGTATATTTTTTTATTTAGTCAATTTATCTCTCTAGTTAAACAAGAGTTTTGATATTATGTGGAAACAGTTTTTTTCTTTTTTCACAATCCACATTTTACACACATTTTATATATATAAAATAATTGCTGCAGAGGAACAGAAAGACTCTTCAATAATCACACTGGTAAAATAACAAGATAAAACAAAAACTTTAACAGGTTTGTTGTATAACTAAACACCTAAGGCTGTGTGTGCACATGCAGCATATATTTGAGAGAATTTGACAAATTAATTTATTCATCATGGATGTTTTGTCAACATGGTGCCAGACATTTAGATTTTTCTAGATATTCCAAAATGTGGTATTTATTTACATATAACCATATAAAAATAACCAAATGTCTTATTTCTCATTGATATGTTTGGAAGATGTATACTCCTATTTACCAAGGACTGTATGAAAAACACCGTTTTCATAAAGTAGATGATGACACATCATGCAACATACAAAATTATGAAATGTATAAAGATTATACCAAAGAAATAAATAATTAAAGTGAAATTTAGATGAAATTACACAATTAAACTAAAACATATTTAAAAATCAACTAGATAAGAAATTTAGTCATAAAGAACATACAGATACAGAATTAGACAAAGGAAAACTATAACAAATTGAATTACATATGTAATATTATGTGTGTGAATTGTAGTGATTATCTTTAAAATTTATAGTTTTAAAATGTTACATATATATATATTTTTTTATTTATTTTTTTGCTTTTAAATCACCTGAACATACTACTTTTTTTCTGGTAAAGCAATGGCATACTTTTCTTTTGAAATATTGGGATTCCTTGGATTATTAAGGGAAAAGTAGAAAATATTTTTCCTAATTATATAACTCATTTGTGCATCATGAAATACAAAGAGTTTTTTTAATAAATTTTTACCAAATATATGCCATATCTGTAATTCAGTGATACAAAGATCACTCTGAGAAGTGTAACATTCCGACAGGGTATTTAGTATTGGGTAGACAAAAACAAATTTAACTGCCTTCAGATTGTTGTGTGCTTTCTCTGAATTCAATTAAACTCTAATTTATAGATTCTTAGAATATTTTTCATCTGTGTTCTATATGACTTTAGTTAATTTTGAAATAGCTCACTTGAGGTAAAGTCTAGATAAGCATAATTTATATTGCTTAGTATTTATCAGTATTGCTTAGTATTTATCAGCTTGAAGTCCACAATTTGATGTGCATGCATGGTTGGTTAAGTACAGAGCAGGAAGCCCTTCTTTGGAGCAGATTTGGAGGAAAGCTAAGCTGAAAACAAGTTATATTTATTTATACAAACACAAATATTTTGTTGAAAACATTGTCTCAAAGTATACTCCAAGCCCCCCCCAAAAAAGCATCAGTATAGTCTCTTTTTAAAAAAATTTTTCAACCGATTTTTGACACTGAGTAGGACTGAACTATTCCTAAAACTTTGAATAATGCATCACCCAAAAATAGCATACTTTTATTTTACATTTAAGATTTCAAGAAAATATCATCAGTTTAAAACAAGGAGATGTTAATCTCCAGGCAATTATTTAAGTTAATTTGGAAAATTTTATAAAATTTAATTTTTAAAGTACAGATCTACTGTGGCAGATCAGATAATTGCAGTTATAAACAACTAGCATTTATGTCCAATTTGCTATAAATTATGAAGACAGAACACAACTTAAAAGTAGGTTCATTGGGCGCCTGAGTGGCTCAGTTGGTTAAGCGACTGCCTTCGGCTCAGGTCATGAACCTGGAGTCCCGGGATCGAGTCCCACATCGGGCTCCCTGCTCAGCAGGGAGTCTGCTTCTCCCTCGGACCCTCCCCCATCTCATGCTTTCTGTCTCATTCTCTCTCTCAAATAAATAAATAAAATCTTAAAAAAAAGAAATTTAAAAAAAAAGTAGGTTCATTCACTCTGTTTGCACTTGATTGATCTATAAACTTTTATGCAAAACATGACATCCTAACTTAATTACATATTGAGTTATTCTAAGAAATAGTAGACAAAGTATGTAATCAGAAACAAATTGACAAAATTTGGATCAGGTTGAGATTCTGCTTTATTTGTATAGACATAGCCAAGAAAATATGACTTAAAGGATTGTGTTTCAAGTGCAATTAGCAAAGTTATATATTTAAGTGATAATCCAAGATATGCATTTATTAAAATCAGTATAGATTTTTTTTTCATGAGAAATAATATGTAAGAAGTAAAATATGATAGTGTTCCTATGGTTGGGGATAGTCTAGTAAGTTTTTAAGAGACCAATGATTACATTATAAGTTTGGTATTTACTTATCAAATTTCTATTGTATTAAATATTTTTTCATAAGTTCAGTTTTTTGGGGTCAAATTAAAACTATGAAAAACCACAATATATTATTAAGGATATTGTGAGTCAAGATTGTATAAATATTAATGAAGTTCAAGGGACAAATTAATATTTATTTTTTTAATATATATATCATAATTAGGGTATTTAACTTCTTTCTCTAGTTGATGATTAATTTTTCTGTTTCATTCATCTCCCAAACATTTATTGAATGTTATGGCATTTGCAAGGCATTGTTTTTAGTGTTGAGGGAGGGGAAAAAAAAAAGAAGATCTGAGCCTTATCCTCAAGCAGTTTAGAAGCTCCTATTAGAGATCAGATAAGCGCACATACAACCACAAACCAGGTATGTAATAATTACATTTCCTCAAATTGAAGAATGACTAAATTATGACACATCATCAATCATCATATTTATTTGGGGGAAATGCTGTGGTTAATCAGAGGAGGTGACCACAGGACCAAGATCACAGGAGTTATGGAGGTGAGTAGCGGTGTATTTGCTATGGGTTTGCCAGTCCTACCAGCAAAAATATAATGGAAATTGCCTGGCAAAAAATGTGTTGGGAAGTTTTGGAAGAGAAGACAATCAAGGATATAGACAGAAAAAGAAAACTATGATGAATTAGAAGAACTCAAAAGTATGGTTTTGTAGATGCTAGAATTTCAAGAAATTGGTAACACCATCAACAAATCTTTCAGGATGAGAACTTGAGAAGGGCTGCTCCATCTGCCATTTAGAAAACAACAGTGTATTTCCAGAGATCCTTTTTACAACTTAGGGATCCTTTTGCAAAGAATAAAACTTTATATGAAGTCAAATTCTATATATTAGGTAAAATGGGATTTTTTTGGTCACTTATTAATAGCTTTTTAAAAAAATCTTGGAAGTACTAAGAACTGAATGGGATGAATAATTTAAAATAATTATGTTCTTAAATATGGTTACATTTTCAAAAAAGTATTCTAAGATGTCAAGTTTTGTCACATTGTAAGTATAAAAAGCAATCAGTGAACTCTTCAATCTTATTCCTAAATCCATGGCCACATGGAAAATAATTGTTTAATTTTTAATAAAATATTCTAAATATATTTTAGTAGTAGGCTACTAGGTAAGTATGGCACACATGTTCCTTGCAATAATACCTGGGATCCTCTTAGAAATAAATGTTTTCACTTATTTATCGAATGTCATAGAAATGTCTTGTTTTCAAAAATACTCACTTGATGCACAAAGCCAGCAGCCACGTGTTAGTAGTGATTGATATGATAGTGGGAAAGTGACAGAATCTTCTGTAGTGAAGGAAGACATTTTTCTTAGATGTTAGTGGTGAGTGGTAGGTAGTGGGAAGAGATAAGGAGGTAGGAACTAAAGGGTTGGGGTTGAATAAAATGACTTCTGAGGAATATTCACTCGTTCATTTATTCAGTCACTATCTAAATTTCTTCTCATTTAAAATTTAATTTTGTTTTATTTTGCTCTGAGAGGTTGAACAAGTGTGTACATTATTTTTTTCTAAGTTATTCCATGGTACAAAATTTTTATCATAGTATTGGAAATGGTTTTTCTCATCCTCTTAGGAGTTGTATTTGAAATGCATGAATGGTTAACAAGCCTGGAGCATGTTGGTATTTCAGAACATCTGCTGTCCTCTATGATCTGTATTAGTTGTGGTTGCAATGTTTGATATTTCCTTGGTCTCCAAAGCCTATCATCTGCGTCGTGAAGAAACAGATTGGTTTGACAAACCCAGGGAGTCTCGTTTGGAAAACGGACATGGTCTGGATCGCAAACTGCCAGAAAGATTGGTCCACTCTAGACCAGTTAGTCAACATCAAGAGCAAGTAAGTGCTATATTGAGAAATCTCTTTTAGATGTATCCCCCACCGCCACAAAAAAAAATCAGCCAATCCATCAATCAGTCAGTCAAATAGTCGGTCATCCTAGAATGGTTTCAGTTATCCTAAAATGCACGGGACTTTTGTCAATCAAGTTCATAAAAAAATTTTTTTTCAGTAAATTAAAGTACTGAGTACCTTACTTAATCATCCCTGGCTATCAACATTGCAGCACAGCTGTAGTGCTTCTACTGGGCAATTTAAGTGATTCATTCTTCCAAAAGATAGTTAAGTTTGTACAACATACCCAACACTACTATGCAAGGACAATACATGTAGCTCCTAAAGACCTTACAGAATATTGGGTGAAATAGAGATGGGTAATTTCAGTGCTTTCCAGTAACAGTGTGTTCAGGTGTTAAGAAATAGCAAATAAGGGGGTGACCAAACCAAGTCAGCTGGGGACAGGGAATGCTTCACTTTGGGAAAGAGGGGAACTTACATCTTAGAGTGTATTATATGGATATGTTTGTTTTATATTTATCTTTGGATTTTGTCATCAGAAAAACTGAAACTAGGTACTATTAATATCTATTTATATTCTTTAAAGATTGATTTATTTTAGAGAGAAGGTGCGTGTGCATGTGTGAGCAGGGGAGGCGGCAGTGGTGGAGGAGGGGCAGAGGGAGAGGGGGAGAGAGAATCTCAAGCAGACTCCCAGCTGATCACTGAGCCTCGTGCAGGGCTCAGTCTCACAACCCTGAGATCACGACCTGAGCCACCCAGGTGCTCCAATTAATATCTATTTATAAGTGAAACTAAAACTTAGAGATAAATTTCACAGATAAATATGACACTAAAATTCATGGTCATATTCACTTTAGAACAAATGAGGTGACATTTGAGTGAGTTTTGAAAGACACATAGGAGATCAACAGTTGGATAAATTGAGAGAGATTCCTCTGGTAAGCCCAGTGGCCTAAATCAGTTGCCTTAAGAGATCAGATATTTGCAGGCTGTGTACCCATAATCATTAAAATACCCATAGAGAGAGTTGAGTTATTTCATATACATTAATTCCTAAATAATCCTGTCTGATTAGTGATTCTCTGATATAGAAGACAACTCAATTTTGAACAACAAAGGTAAACCATATGAACTTACTGTAATTTACTTCAGTGTTTGTCATGTTAAAGTGTAAAAGAGATGACTTTCATCACACATATAAGTACCATTGAAAAAATAGTATCTATACTCAAATTTGATTTCTTCCAAAGCAACTTAAATTTTCATAGACAAATTTCTAGCTGTTAAATAGAATTTCTTTATCTCAGGAACACCTGGGTGGTTCAGTCAATTAAGGGGCAAACTCTTGATTTGGCTCAGGTCATGATCTCAGAGTGCTGGCCTGGAGCCCCTCATCAGACTCCATGCTCAGTGAGGAGTCCACTTCAGGATTCTCCCTCTCCCTCTGCCCTTCCCCCTGTTCTGTCTCTTTCTCTCTCTCTTTCAAATAAATAAATAAATCTTTAAAAAAAAGAATTTATCTCAAAATTTTGTTCTGTATTGGTTTTATATATGCTATCATATTTTCTAGAAATCTTGGAATTATTTTCTATATGTTTAAATATTCTTTTTAGTTTTTGATATCTTTAATAAGATTGTAGTTTAGTCCCATCCCCCACGCATCTTTCCTCTGGTAAACATGGGGGGGGGAAATGGGTCAAATAGGTGATGGAGATTAAGGAATACACTTATGATGAAAATAAATAATTAAATATTTTTTGAAAAAATTTTGGTTTAGGGCTGTGTTTACCTCTGTATACATGTCCATATACTTCCGTTTCTTTGTACTTCATATCAATGTATCAGACAATTGAATTAGACTTTTCTTAGATTACCTCATTATTAAAATTATAGCTGTAGTTCAATCTCATCAATTAGATCAGCCTAATGAGCAAGGAAAATAATAAAATCATTCTGAACATGTTTATAAAATGTAAATTTACCTCTTTTTATCTATAATTACTAGAATAATAAATCTGTCAGCTGAAAATAGCTTCCTTGAATATATTTTACTGTAAAAATCTCTCTATATTGACTTACTTTTTATATCTTACCTGTCTCATTTGTTTCTTTGAAGTTTATTATTTCCCACAAACCTACATTTAGTCAATGAAAGCACAAATCTTTTAAAGAAATCTTAGTAAGATGAAATACATAAACTGGAGGGCTAGAAAATAACTCCCAATTATTTTCTGACATTACTATTTCCACAAATATTTAGAAGAGTCTTGTCTAATTTATTCAACCAGTATTCTTGAAGGATACATTTTAACATAATCTGTGTCCACCTCAAAAAATATTTTCTGGAATTCTTTTGTATGTAGATGAAACATTAATAACCTTAATGGCACTTTTTGATTTTAATTTTCTGTTACTAACATCTGCAGATTTATGATTTTAATCCACTGAGGATCTAATACATCATATTTAAACAAAATACAGACCAATATAATGGCCAAAATTAAGCAGAATATATTTAAGAATCATTTCATGAATTTCTTGCTATTTTTTTTATAAAATAAAAAATGTAAGGATCCTTGTTAGAATTATTTATAGGTAAATGTAAGAAAATAATGTATAATTTCTTATTAAAAGTTATTTTTTACATTTATAAGTTTTTTACATTTTTTTATTTTTACATCTAACATGCAGACAAATAAACTACACATGCAGTTACCAAAACTGCAAACAGGCAACATTTTAAACTACGTATAAAGTGAACAACAATATAAGCAACACACAGACCAAGAAAGGGAATATGCTTGCCCCAGACACCCCTATGTGCCTCTTCCAGATGGTAATCCTCAACTTCCTTCAAAAAAGTAACAACTCTGCTAACTTTTGTGACAATAATTTCTTTGTTTTTTTTATAGTTTTTTCTAAACAAGCTACATAGAAGGTGACATATGTTTTCATTACATTTACATAAAGCTCAAAAATCATGGTATATTTTTGCATTAATATTTATGTTAAAGTACTGTTTTTGTCATTAACTCATCATAACTGTGTTTTGGTCTAGAGAGAATAGCAAAATGGCGTTCTCATTTTATTCACTTGTTTGATCTCTAATCATAAAAAGGTAATATTGAGCCCTTGGTACTAATCAACCCAGATGCTTTTATTTGGAAACTTACACATAACAAGAATTTATACTCATAAAATGCCCTGCAGGCAAAAGTAATAAAACCAAATTGATTAATGCCAACATGAACTTATCTGCTTTAAAAATAACATATAAAAATACATGAGAAACAGAAAATCTTTTCTGAATTTTTATTAGACTCAAGATCATATTATTATTTGAATATATGCATCATATATATGTATATATGAAAGGAAAGAAATATGGATTTGCTTTATTCACTTCATCTATAAATAGGGCTAATAGCCCTCACAGGGTAATTATAAAGGTCAACACTTCTAGATTAGTATCAAATGCCTCCACGTTCTGCACTTATGCCCATGCCTTCTGCAGTCTTCCTGCAACTGCATTATTGAGGTACATTAAGCTCCTCTGAGAGAGCCATTCTTCCTCCATATTATGGGCCTTTGGATATCCTGATCCCTTTCCCTAAACAGCCTTCCTCCTCTCATCTTGGCTCCTCTACTCGTTACGTAGGTCTCCGTGTATATGCCCCATCTTATAAGAAGCCTTCTCTCACACTACCACCACCACCTCCCCACACATCAGGGCAAGTGTTCTTCCTTTGTGCTCCAGTAGTATTGCATGCATTATGTCACAGGCTATGAGCTCCTAGAGAGCAGGAGCTCCCTACTGCACCCACCGCAGTTCTGTAAGGGCCTAGCACAGTACTTGGAGCACAGGAAGGACGCTCGTTCCCCTGTATCTAGCATGCATGGTGTTTAGGAGAGTGAAAAGGAGGAATGTCCCTGTGAATAAACAGTATGTTAACAGAAGTTATTATTTCCTAAGTATGAAAGCTCAATTATTCATGAAAATATCTGTAGGTAGACAAGAATCCTTTTGCTGGGAGGCATAAAGTTGATAGCCCTTTCAGTGCAGAATCACCAAAAGGCAGTAATACCAGAGACACACAGTCGGGGAAAAGTGTGGGCACCACTTGACACCAGTCCTGCCCTCATTCCTACTCTTATTTGGAGGAAGCCACACTGACCCTGAAACTCCGTCTGCTGGAGAACTCTGAACATTGACCTGCAATGCTTAGAAAAGAGCTAAGATCCAACTAGTTCATACATGGAAGACAGATACCACTGCTCTCTACAGACTTTTGGTCACTTTGATCACAATTATGGCAGTTTCATGTTTTTGATTTATTAAGTGAGTTCGTGTTGCTAGCTATAGACGGTCTCTGAAATTACAGGAGGTGCTATGAGGTTTTCTGAAAGCAACATTTTATAGAAATGAAGATGCTAACATCCCTTCTACTAACATCATCAGAAGTACAGATTAGAAGGCGATATGGCTAGCCGATAAAACTCGGCTGAAAAATTCAGGAAATCTTACAGCTCTCCCTGCATAATCTTGCAAACAACATTTTAGTTCTACTTTGAAGAGTTCAGATAATATTCCTGGACTCAACAGGATTCTGCTGTTTGGGGAATGTTTTCTGTTCATCAGAAACCTGATTAAGCTTATTCTTTCCTGAAGAGAAGAAAAGCTATAGGCTATAATTTAAGCTTGCATTTTTCAGTACCTATTTTACTTTTAATATATAGAATTTCAACAGTCTTACAGGTGGAGTTACACATTAAAACCACACAAGTATTCAAGGAATCACAAATCAACATCTCTTGGGTTCTAACTTCTATTTAATATTTTGGTTTAGTACTCTACACACTTCTTAAACATATTCTGAAATGGGTAATATGGCATGTCTCTTTACTAAACTTTATTTTGATTGTAATTTTAGTCAAATTTTTCTAAGGTGATAGAACATTTCATACTAATAAATTCCTCAATATAGATATGACTAAATATTTCACTATTTTTATCTCCTATTGTTTCACAAATCTCATTTAAAAGCAAAGTACCATAAAATATAAAACATAAGTTTGCATTCACTAATTTGTTTCAGAAGTCTCATTTTGCCAGGGGGAGACAGAGATAATGCAATCTCTAGTATTCTCATATTCAAGTCTCAAAAATGAGAATTGGAATCACAGACTAGCCACAATCGCTTTCAGGGTTGATGTTTCTACCCGAAGGAATGTCAACAGTAAGTGAGAAATAACTCCATCAGTAACACAGCTTTGAATAAAAGGAAGGCCTCAGAAAGAATTAGAATGAGAAAAAGCTTTATTTATGTAGAACTAGCCTCAGCATCCAGTGTACATTGACACTTCTAGTAGATACGCATAGCAAAAGCACAACTCCACAATAAAATCAAAGCAACACAAATATAAAGCAGTCCTGTTAGAGTGATAAAGATGTATAGTATGAGGATTTTTTTTTCTGCCTTTTCTCCGCTAGGACCACTTAATTGCCAAAAATTAAAAAATACCTTTCCATTTCTAGGCTGCCCAGAACAAAATCAGACTCACTCGTTTTCACATACGTTGTCTACCACTGTCATTTATGTACTACTATAGGAGCAGACATTCTCTAGAGCCTGTTAAGTGAGCCTATCAATTTCCCAAATGCAGAAAATCAGTTTGCAAGAGGAATTGGTTATAAATATAAAGATCACAATCAACTCAGAAACTAATAATACTGTATAGTGTAAGATGCTTAAATTGTGATCATTTGAGAATCTGGTAACATTTTTTTATTGATTGAATCAACACACTTAAAAAGAACAATCTAAATCTGTATATTGCATTTTAAGTGCCTTTAAACATTGACTGTTCACCTTATTATATGTATATCTTAGATTATACAGATGAACGGGAAGACTATGCACTACATCTTTCCTCATGCAAGGATAAAAATAACAAGAGACTCGAAGGATCACACAGTTTCAGGTAAAGGAAATCAAATAATCTACTTTTTATTTTAATATCAGATTAGGATATGTATTTGGATTTCAGTTTAGATGACTTATCAAATTTTAGAAAATACTTTTTATGTCAAAAGTTGTGTTTTGAAGAATTTCAAAAAATAAGCAGGCTACACATTTGAAAATAAAAGATTATAAGGGCCTGGTCATTAATATGACAAATTACTAAGTGGTACACATTTAGATCATTTTTTCCTTAATGCATTTTTAAAACATACACGGTATTATAATACTCCATAATTATTGCTCCAAGCAATATGGCCACTGGTTTTAGAACTACAAAACATCCTTACACAGGAAGTAGAGATCTCTGATTCTTCTAAGGAATAAACCCCTCTATACCTTGTCAATTTGAACACTATCAATTATGCTGAGTTTTTGTTTGTTTACTTGTTTGTGTTCTTATGTGAACCAAAACATATGACAGGTTTCTACGCTTTTTATTTTGAAAAAATTTTAGATTACTAGAAAATTCTGGACTCCCAGAAAATAGTATGGTCAGTTCTTCTGCCCATCCTTTACTAGGTTTCCCTAATGTTAACATCTATCTAATAATGATCAGGAGATCAAAACCAGGAAGTTAACATTAGTTAATATGGTACTATTAAAACATCTACAAGCCTTGGGGTGCCTGGCTCGCTCAGTCAGTAGAACACGCAACTCTTGATCTCAGGGGTGTAGGTTCAAACCCCACACTGGGTGGAGAGATTACCTAAAAGTAAAATCTTTAAAACACACACACGCACATCTACAAGCCTTCTCTAGAGTTTTAGTTTTCCCACTTACCCACTAAATTCTTTTTTTTTTTTTTTCCTGGTCCAGGACCCAGTACGGATCTCATATTGCATTTAGTTGTCATCCCTTCTTCGTCTCCAGTCTGATAGTTTTGCAATCTTTGTGTTTCATGACCTTGATGCTTTTAAAAGATAATGGAATTTTTATATCATAAATTTTTTTTGTTTAGATCTTTGAGACAAAATATAAATTCTGTCAAAGTTAATGACTTTTGAAATATGAATAGACCTGTATTCTCATTCAAGTATATTCCTTGTGTTTATAGACACTGTATACCAACAGAAAATATTCATAAACATATATGTTTATGTATATATATGAAGATATGTAGAGGTGATATATCTAACATGGTATATGTGCTGGAGGATTTTTTTTCCTGCAAGGACTGATATAACAAAGAGCAAAAATAGATATTTTTTCAGTTTACTTGCTCCTGTTCTGTGCATATTTTAGACCGTGGAGCATGAAGATGTGGAACAGGTTTTGCTTTGAGCAATTTTCCTCTCTTTATTTTCATAGAGAATGAATCGATTAAGAGTCTAATGCTGTTCTCCTTTTAAGATTGGGTAATTTTTCTCCTACCAGAGACAGATAATTTAAACTTTCATAGTTTTATTGCATGCACACTGTATTTTAAGCACTGATGAAAATCCCAGGGGTGAATCTTAAAATCCATGGGCTCTATGGATTGGAATAATTACAATGGAATAACTCTATGGAATAATTACTTCTACAAACTATTTCAGTTCCCTCCAGCTCATAAAGCAAAACAACATTGTACTTTCCAGCAATGCCAAATTTTTTTTTTAGTGCGAAGAACAGAAATCTTACTAAATCATCAGAATTCTGTATCACTATCTATCTTCTAGCTGTATTATTGCTTTTATACTGTGTTAGTCATCCCCTCAACCTTCCTACCTTTCTTCTGCAACTTATTGTTTCCTTTTATTAGGAAAAAAGTTTTAAAATATAGTAAAGACAGAAATGAGAGCTACTGATATCTCATTATAAATACTCTAGCCTGAAAACTAAATTCAGTTTCCTCTGTATATAGATTTTACGAAATGAGAAACAAGAATCATTGTTTTGAACAATATGTTTACTAGTAGGGTTCTGTATCATCTCTCTGCATGCCCCTTTTTCTTTTGATATATGCCTAATATAAAAATAAAAATATTTTCCCCATTATTTTCCCTTGCACTGAGTACTACTGAATATATTTTCCATGTGTTCTTGGGTAGCATAATCTCATAGTAAATTAGATGTTTTGAAACAATTCATGTTTTTTCAAATAAATCTTCAGTACCTCAAAGGGATTTAAATACACGTATATACAAAGCTAGAGTGAGAAATGACTTCTATGGCAAACAGTGTCTAAAAGGTCTAAGCTAATGGCAGGCAGGCAAACCCTAGCGCAGAGCATCTGTGCTCCTGGCTGATCTCTCCGTTGTTTGCCACTCAACCAAAAGCCTTTTTTTGCTTAACTGAACATTTGGTGATATTAAAGATTTACTGTTGTTTTTTGGCTATGGTTACCACTTTGATGTTAACGTTTTTAATAAAAATTAAGGATAGATTTTTTTTTTTAGAGATACATACTAAAATATTTGCAGATGGAACAATATCTTGTCTGGGATTTCTTTCAAAATTAGTTGTGTGCAGAATGGTGCAGGAATAGATGAGAAAATTGACCGTGACTTGATAATAGTTGGAGTTGGAAGATTGACCACCCTGGGTTTTATTATAGGCTTGCATTACTTTTTTATATGTATGACTTTTTCCCTAATAAAAAAATTAAGTTCCTGTTTGTTTTTCATATTTAGAGAAAGTGAGCAGTGGCTTGTAGCTTCATCAGTAGTGAAAAAGCTATCTAACCAAAAATTTAAATGCCTTTGTAAACACGATAGGATGTAAACAAGGAAGGAGTGAAGAATAAAATGTAGTATATCTACCCTCCCTGACAGAAGTTCCAAATAAGTCATGAGTGCATTTTCATTTTGGTTATATAAACCCACTGAAAGTAGAAAAACTGCGTATCTTTTATGATAGTTTAATAAACCATTCTAGGGGTGCCTGGGTGGCTCAGTTGGTTAAGTGTCTGCCTTCCACTCAGGTCATGATCCCAGAGTCCTGGATCAAGCCCCGCATCAGCATTGGGCATTGGCATCTTAGGCTCCCTACTCAGCGGGGAGCCTGCTTCTCTCTCTCTGCCCCTCCCACACTCTTGCTCTCTCTTTTCTCTCAAATAAATAAATAAAATCTTTTTAAAAAAATTAAAGAAAATAAGCCATCCTAACAAGGTGTAGCATTAAAATGTTTTATAAGAATTACGTGAAACAAGTATACCTCACAAAAAAAAGAAAAAATATTTTTATTTTTTGGAATCAAAAATAATTTCAAACAAGACAGGAATAGAAAGTGTGTGTGTTTTTTTTTATTGTTTCCTCTGTGTGTTTCCCACAGTTTGAGCAGGAGACCTTCATGGTTTCCAAGATTCTTTCAGGGGGTCCACAAAATCAGAACTATTTTCATAGTAAATGGTAAGGTAGCATTTGCCTTGCACCCCCATTTTCTCCTGAATATGTGCAGTAGAGTTCTTTGGAGGTTACACGATGTGTGCCATCGCAACAAGCTGTACACAGAGCAGATGTGAGCATTTAGCCATATTTCATTTAGCTCAATTTTAAGTGGATTTGCAATAATGTAAAACAACACCACCCATCTCATAAGTGTTTTATTTTTAAAATACAGTCATTTTTATTAAAAATATAATTTTTTAACAGAATGCGTTTATTTTAAATTCATGAATAAATGTCTTAAATTCTCAGTCTTAAATTATGATACAGGCCTGTAATCCATATGAGCAAAAGCTCTTTGAGGTTCTTAGTAATATTAAAAAGTATAAATGGCTATTTAAACCACAATGTTTGAGAACCGTTATTCTAAGGATATTTATAGAGAACATTAAAACAATATAAATAAGCTTTTTTTCTTCCTGTAAAAAAAACTATACAACATAAAATGTTTTTTGCAACTGTTTTTATAACTCATATTGGATAAATTTTTAATTGTTAATATTTATTTATTGAACACCCCTGGTGTGATTTACATTGGGTTGATTGCTAGAGTAATAGAATGAACCCAACATATATCCTTATCTACAATTTACTTGTAATTCAGTAGTGAAATCTGAAATATAAGTAATTATTACAGTAGAATTTTAGGAATAACTTAGATAAAGCCAAGGAATTTATAAAACCTTATTGTTCATACCTATACACTGGTATGTATGAGTGTGTACACACATATACTTATGTACCACTATTTATATTTTTGTGATGGTCACAGAGAGAAATACATGAATACAATCTTCTTTTAAATGATCCATAATTTTTAGAACATAGATCCTTTGACTGTTAACTGAAAACTTCAAAGATAAGAGTGATAGGTACTGATCAACAGCTGTATAATGATTTTGAAAGTCTTTATTCCACCAAACACAAGCCTGCAAAGTGGAGAGAATAGGTAGTGAATTTTAGCAGAAAGACCTGAGTTGGAGTTCAACTCTATTGCTTATTTAAATTTTGAGAATAAATTTGCTTATCTGGAAAATAAGACCAGCTCTATGTATCTCACATAATTGCAAATGAACCTAGCACAAAATCCTATACTTAATATACACTCAACGAATGTTATTTCCCTCTTCTTTTAGAGAGAAATTATCAGGAAAAAAAAGAACAAAATGTAATGCTCAAGAAATGAATCTGTTTCTTTTTTATTTCAAACCATCTTATGGCTCCAGAAACACAGCTGTTTCAAACAAGCCAAAGAAATTCTTCTGATTTCAAAAAAGATGTTTGCTTATGTATGGTTCCATAACAGGCTGGCTACATCTGCAAGGCTAGAGAGACTAATTAGCAAGTGTAATAGGGAAGAACACTAAATATGTTTAGGTTCAAAAGACAGCAGTGTCTTCAGTGGAAATAGTGGCTCATTTTCTATTCTTCATTAGTCTACCGTCTTTATGAGCTTTTAGAAATAGGAGACAAATGTAACAGATCTCATTGGCTCTGAGTTGGTAGCAATACCAAATATGGATAGCTCTTTTTTATTGTTATTATTTAAACCACTTTAATAAGGTATAATTTACATATCATAAATGTACACATT